GTATGCAAGGTTTTTTTTTTTTATCAAATGTAAATCTAAATTCATGTCCCAGTCACATTTTCTTGGTTAAATAAACATTACTTACACTATCAGAAAAAGAAATATATGTACAGTCATGGTCAGAATTATTGGCACCCTTGGTAAATATGATCAAAGAAGGCTGTGAAAATAAATCTGCATTGTTAATCATTTTGATCTTTTATTTTAAAGATTCACATAAATCTAACCTTTCATTGGAGAATAAGAATTTAAAATGGGGGGAAATCTCATTGACAAATGTTTTTCTCAATTGCACGTTGGACACAATTATTGGTACCCCTAGAAATTATTATGAGTAAAATGTCTGTGAAGTATATTCCCATTCATATTTACAATTTTGAGCATACCAGGGTGATTATGAACTTGAAATTAGCCATGGCTTCCCAGGACTATAAATAGGAGGGAAAACAAAGGCCAAATTCCCTTAATCATCCCTCACAATGAGAAAAACCAAAGAATATATATCTGATGTGCAGCAAAAGATAATTGAGCTTCACAAATTAGAAAGTGACTTTAAGACAAGAGCTAGAGCAGTGAAAATTACCATTTCCACCATCAGGGCAATAATTGAGAATTTCCAATCAACAGAAAATGTTACAAATCTGCCTGGAAGAGGACGTGTGTCTTCTTGACCTGGTAAGGACTCTAGCCGCTGTATTTTGGACTATCTGTAGCTTGTTTACTGAAGATGCAGGACATCTTGTGTGTTTGTTGTTTCTAACTTGAGCGGTGGACATTGAGCTGTGCTGGTGGAGTTAGATCATTGAATGTGTGTGTGATGGTGTTTCTGTTTTGATTGGACTTGGTGTGTGTTTAAAGCCTCTGGTGTTTGTTGTATTGATCAGCTTGAGTGAATGCAGCCACTACATATATATAATTTTTTTTTTTTTTTTTTTTACATTATGTAATCAATATTCTATTTATTAAAGCCAAGTATGAATCTCATCAAGTCAGTGTTTTTAAACATTTTACATTTATTCCAAAATAATAACTCAAGGCAATTTAAACAATATATTTTATTTTTGAACTTCTGTTCAGCTATTCTTTTTAATAGTTAATTTTTATAAGGATTATAAATCATCAAAGCTCAGTAAATATTGGTCACAGACAAAGAGATTTACCTTAAACTTGTTAAAAACTCCCACAGATCATATGATCATTCCGTTTTAAGTCTTATTTTGACATGGCATAAAGTGGTTATATCAAAGCGTGTGAGTTGTTTACTTCTTTATTTTTTTTTTTTTTTTTTTTTTTTTTTTTTTTTTTTTTAATCTTACCATTAATGCCATTATATCGGTCATTCAGACTGATTCACAAACAGGTGACTTGCATGAGACACAAGAGGTGTGATTTACTCAATATGGTCCAATCACAGCTGAACATAATCGATCATATCCAGTCATATTGTGATTGAGGCATTGCCTCCTCTCATGTGACTTTCCCCCAGTCATTCTCAATTACCCTCAGCAAACTCCCCTCCCACTTTAGGAGGTCTGTTAAAAGTCAGTGGGCTCAGGGGAGGCGAGAGAGACGCAGACTCCCACTGGTGTCACTGTTGGACAATGTTTCTTTCGAAAAACAAGTGATTTATATAATTTTAATGTTATATTTTGTAATATTGGTGTTTTAAATGTTGTACTACAAATTTTTTTCCATCCAAATATTTTGAGGAGGCACTGCCTACCTTGCCTCCTCGGAGGAAATGCCCCTGGTGTGCAGGCAGTTCTGTTGTCTGCGACTTTGCTCTTTAAACTCTGATTGGCTGTCGTTATAGTTCTAGTGTGGACTTCCCTACTTCCCTCTTTGAATTACAACGATTAACTTTATAGTTATAGTTATTGTACTTGCTGTGAATAGGCCTTAACTCACTTTTATTTTTCTGAGCAAGATTAAGTTAGTATCAGGGTCTTGAAGCAATTTTTAGCCATTCTGGCTTGTCCTCTGTGAAGTTTGCTTGCGTGCGGTCTTGGAAATGCAAGCATTTTCATAACTTGTGAATCCAAATATATTAGACAATTAGAAACAGGCCACACAAATATGCCAGCACACTTTTTATGAACTTTTTTTTTCCTGTCAGTGTATAGAACAAGTGCAACTGAGTAGTTGACACAGGCTGACACTGTTCACTACTATTCTATATTACTGCATATGAATCTATAGAGTGAATGCAGTGTTCCTTACTGATGGAAAACTTATTTTAAGCTGCTCATATAGTAGCGTTTATGATTGGAAGAAGGAAAAGATGATCAAATACAATCAATATCCAAATATATAATGAAAAAATGTCTGAAGTATCTTGAGAGAATGGACATCCATGTTTTTTCTTATCAGTCAAGGTAAAAGTGCAATCTTTCCTAAGTATACTGTAATTGTGCCAGTCTTGTCCGATTTGTTTCTTCGTAATTTACTTTTTTGTTTTTGATTGAACTTAAATGGCATAAATGTGCTAATGTCTTTTACTTTTTTATATAAAAAATTATTTGTTCTCGAAATGATTGAGAATACTGTTGCAGATAGGACCGGAAACCGGAGCGAAAGTGCGGTCTCGTAGGATAAAAGTTGTATTGTGAAGGGACAGATGCTACACTCCCATAAAGACCTGGGAAGCCATTTGTGTTTCACATGGCTGCAGTAAGCCCGCTCTCACCCGGCCCCAGTCTGATGTTAATTAGTTCATAAATTAAGGACATTGACTTTTTTTAAGAGCCAAATGAATGGGAAGAAAGAATGGAAAGACGGCGAATTAAGCACACTAAAAACCAGGCGAAAAATAAACAAAAGAAAAAACAAAAAAGCAAACTTCAAAGGGGGATCTAATTCGTCAGGCGTTTGAAGTGAAAACACTGAGGCTGGTTCCACTCGCCACATGGATTAATGGTCGACTGAACAGCCAGAGCACCACTCGCTCTGCTCTCTCTCACTCTGTCATTATCAGTGCTCCGAGACGGGGGCTTTTCTTTAATGTGATCCAAGAATAATTTCGAGTTTCTCTTGTTGTGGGTAAGATTACGGTCAGTTTTTCTTGCAGCGGTTAGTTAGATTCTGTTTGTACATCATTGTGGTTTGTTGGGTCAGTTTTCCTAAGTTGAGTGCAAAAGAAGAAAACATTTCTCTAAGCTTCTCTCTTAGGACACCGAGAGCATATTAGATGTTATCACAAGATTTTGTCTTCACTACCAATCATTGAGCTGGTAATACCGGCTATGACCTCATTGACACAAGCTCTAATCAGTATGAATAATCTCCCATAATTGAATATTGATTTGTAGAGACTGTTTGCACATTTCTGTTCATTCTACAGATAAGACACCTTGGCATTCCCTTTAAAAGTTATGGCATTAAAGCCCCATTTTCTGGTTCTTATATTCTTTCTGTGTTATCTGTTAATGATTTCTACACATCTTTCCAATCAAATTCTGTCATAAAATTATGCCTGTTCTCCCAATTTATAATTTAAATTAACTTTTGAATATATTTTAAAATGTACTTTATTCCTGTGATGACAAAGCTGAATTTTTAGCAGACAGTACTCCAGTCTTCAGAAAGACTGGTGTTGTGAATATTTTTGTGGAAGCCATATTTTCAGGATTCTTTGATGAAAGTTCAAAGGAACAGTTTTATTTGAAATGGAAATCTTTGGAGTCATTCTAATGTCTTTTAATGTCACGTCTGATCAAATAAAGGCATCCTTGTTCAATTAAAGTATTAATTTCTTTAGAGAAAATCTTACAGACTGCAAACGTTTGAATAGTAGTATATGTTGTGTGATAGTGCTTTTGAGACAGGGGTATATTGTTGCTCTCTCGTTGGTCTGATTGCTTCTACTTTGTAAGTCGTTTGGATAAAAGCGTCTGCTAAATGACTAAATGTAAATGTACCTGAGACAAAGTACATCCAGGTGGGACACGACTGTGGAAATGTACAATACTAGTTTAGCTTATATTGGTATTTTTATTCTTCTGTTTTTTTGTTTCTAATTTCTGATCTTTGTACATTTTTATTACTATATTTTGTAAATTTAATACATAGGCTAATACATAAAACTAATACTATAGTACGTAACCAGCATTTATTCTTTAAGGATCTGGATAGGTATGATTACTGCACCAGTCACAATATAATTCGGTGTATTTGCAAAGTTAGCTTTAAGAGTGGCCTGCTTTTGACACAAAAATGCTGTATAAGCAATCTATTTTGAGTGTAATAATTATGATTTCCTGATTTCGATCATTTTAGCACCAGTGTTGCACATTATGGTTGTAAATTTGTTAGAATATAAAATGTCAGCTGTATTCTGTCACACTGGCTTGTTTTGTGCCTCTGCCAGGACAAACATAATTTACCCTAATATGTTTTAGACAAAAGCAGAAGCATACCAGAATGGCATGCAGATGGCTCCAGATGGAAACGGCGTACGGGCGTAGATCATCTCTGCAGCGGGGCTCTTGATATATGGCTATAAGGGGGCCAGCTTAGCGCTTCCTTAAAATTTGTGCCCATTCCAGACCTACTTTGTCTCGTCTCTGCTCCTCTTTATGCTGTTCGAAACCCTTGATGTCAGCTGGCACTGCCTCACAGAGTTTGCCAGGCTTTGGATCTCGGCAGGGGTCTATCGCCGCACCCCTCCCAACAACAGGCAGCATGTGAAGATTGTCACCCTGCTTTATAATTGGGGTTTCAGATCTTCAGAGCTTGGGACCCCGTCATAGCCCATCAGCACCTGGCTCCTTAGCTTTCAAAGGCAGTGGAGACCTCCAAAACCTCAGGTGGTGAAATACTTTAAAGTTCGAGGCCCACCTGTCTGCGATTCACCTGTTGTTATAATATAGGGCTGTGTAGAGCTAGATAGTCTTTGTGTGAAGTTGCAGAGAAAACAATCATTTGCACATACTGCAACATCTATAAGAATTTCTAGTTGACTTATTTGAATGTCTCTTCTTTGTTTATCTTCATACATACAGGTGAAACAGAACTCTCTACGATCCTACATTGGTGTAGTTCCTCAGGACACTGTTCTTTTCAATGATAACATCCGTGAAAACATTCGCTATGGACGCATCTCTGCAAGTGACCAAGAAGTAGAAGAGGCTGCAGTGGCTGCTGATATCCACCATAAGATATTATCCTTTCCAGACGGTAGAGGAATGCTATCTTTTCATAACTACATTTAGTAGTTATTAGTCATTTAGTAGTTTTTTTTATCTGTTCATGGAGTACAGAGCACATTTCTCAAGCTTTATGATCTCCACATCCTTGGAATACATGCACTACCATTTAATGGCTCACCAAGGCCTCATTTAATTTTATGAAAAATACAGTAAAAACAGAAATATTATTTCAATTAAAAATAACAGTTTTTTTTACTTGAATATATTTTAAAATGTAATTTATTCCTGTGATGACAGCTGAATTTTTAGCAGCCAGTGTCATATTGCAGTGTGTATTGATCACAGTTTTGAAAGAACAGATATAGGATTGTAATAACATGAGGTGTGTATAAATGATTACAGAATGTTCACTTTTCTCTGAACAATACCTTTTTGAATATGACAGGATATGATACTGAGGTGGGTGAAAGGGGTCTGAAGTTGAGTGGAGGGGAGAAACAGAGAGTGGCCATCGCTCGCACAATCCTAAAATCCCCTCGCATTATTTTGCTTGATTTGGAAGAAGGAAAAGATGATCAAATACAATCAATATCCAAATATATAATGAAAAAATGTCTGAAGTATCTTGAGAGAATGGACATCCATGTTTTTTCTTATCAGTCAAGGTAAAAGTGCAATCTTTCCTAAGTATACTGTAATTGTGCCAGTCTTGTCCGATTTGTTTCTTCGTAATTTACTTTTTTGTTTTTGATTGAACTTAAATGGCATAAATGTGCTAATGTCTTTTACTTTTTTATATAAAAAATTATTTGTTCTCGAAATGATTGAGAATACTGTTGCAGATAGGACCGGAAACCGGAGCGAAAGTGCGGTCTCGTAGGATAAAAGTTGTATTGTGAAGGGACAGATGCTACACTCCCATAAAGACCTGGGAAGCCATTTGTGTTTCACATGGCTGCAGTAAGCCCGCTCTCACCCGGCCCCAGTCTGATGTTAATTAGTTCATAAATTAAGGACATTGACTTTTTTTAAGAGCCAAATGAATGGGAAGAAAGAATGGAAAGACGGCGAATTAAGCACACTAAAAACCAGGCGAAAAATAAACAAAAGAAAAAACAAAAAAGCAAACTTCAAAGGGGGATCTAATTCGTCAGGCGTTTGAAGTGAAAACACTGAGGCTGGTTCCACTCGCCACATGGATTAATGGTCGACTGAACAGCCAGAGCACCACTCGCTCTGCTCTCTCTCACTCTGTCATTATCAGTGCTCCGAGACGGGGGCTTTTCTTTAATGTGATCCAAGAATAATTTCGAGTTTCTCTTGTTGTGGGTAAGATTACGGTCAGTTTTTCTTGCAGCGGTTAGTTAGATTCTGTTTGTACATCATTGTGGTTTGTTGGGTCAGTTTTCCTAAGTTGAGTGCAAAAGAAGAAAACATTTCTCTAAGCTTCTCTCTTAGGACACCGAGAGCATATTAGATGTTATCACAAGATTTTGTCTTCACTACCAATCATTGAGCTGGTAATACCGGCTATGACCTCATTGACACAAGCTCTAATCAGTATGAATAATCTCCCATAATTGAATATTGATTTGTAGAGACTGTTTGCACATTTCTGTTCATTCTACAGATAAGACACCTTGGCATTCCCTTTAAAAGTTATGGCATTAAAGCCCCATTTTCTGGTTCTTACATTCTTTCTGTGTTATCTGTTAATGATTTCTACACATCTTTCCAATCAAATTCTGTCATAAAATTATGCCTGTTCTCCCAATTTATAATTTAAATTAACTTTTGAATATATTTTAAAATGTACTTTATTCCTGTGATGACAAAGCTGAATTTTTAGCAGACAGTACTCCAGTCTTCAGAAAGACTGGTGTTGTGAATATTTTTGTGGAAGCCATATTTTCAGGATTCTTTGATGAAAGTTCAAAGGAACAGTTTTATTTGAAATGGAAATCTTTGGAGTCATTCTAATGTCTTTTAATGTCACGTCTGATCAAATAAAGGCATCCTTGTTCAATTAAAGTATTAATTTCTTTAGAGAAAATCTTACAGACTGCAAACGTTTGAATAGTAGTATATGTTGTGTGATAGTGCTTTTGAGACAGGGGTATATTGTTGCTCTCTCGTTGGTCTGATTGCTTCTACTTTGTAAGTCGTTTGGATAAAAGCGTCTGCTAAATGACTAAATGTAAATGTACCTGAGACAAAGTACATCCAGGTGGGACACGACTGTGGAAATGTACAATACTAGTTTAGCTTATATTGGTATTTTTATTCTTCTGTTTTTTTGTTTCTAATTTCTGATCTTTGTACATTTTTATTACTATATTTTGTAAATTTAATACATAGGCTAATACATAAAACTAATACTATAGTACGTAACCAGCATTTATTCTTTAAGGATCTGGATAGGTATGATTACTGCACCAGTCACAATATAATTCGGTGTATTTGCAAAGTTAGCTTTAAGAGTGGCCTGCTTTTGACACAAAAATGCTGTATAAGCAATCTATTTTGAGTGTAATAATTATGATTTCCTGATTTCGATCATTTTAGCACCAGTGTTGCACATTATGGTTGTAAATTTGTTAGAATATAAAATGTCAGCTGTATTCTGTCACACTGGCTTGTTTTGTGCCTCTGCCAGGACAAACATAATTTACCCTAATATGTTTTAGACAAAAGCAGAAGCATACCAGAATGGCATGCAGATGGCTCCAGATGGAAACGGCGTACGGGCGTAGATCATCTCTGCAGCGGGGCTCTTGATATATGGCTATAAGGGGGCCAGCTTAGCGCTTCCTTAAAATTTGTGCCCATTCCAGACCTACTTTGTCTCGTCTCTGCTCCTCTTTATGCTGTTCGAAACCCTTGATGTCAGCTGGCACTGCCTCACAGAGTTTGCCAGGCTTTGGATCTCGGCAGGGGTCTATCGCCGCACCCCTCCCAACAACAGGCAGCATGTGAAGATTGTCACCCTGCTTTATAATTGGGGTTTCAGATCTTCAGAGCTTGGGACCCCGTCATAGCCCATCAGCACCTGGCTCCTTAGCTTTCAAAGGCAGTGGAGACCTCCAAAACCTCAGGTGGTGAAATACTTTAAAGTTCGAGGCCCACCTGTCTGCGATTCACCTGTTGTTATAATATAGGGCTGTGTAGAGCTAGATAGTCTTTGTGTGAAGTTGCAGAGAAAACAATCATTTGCACATACTGCAACATCTATAAGAATTTCTAGTTGACTTATTTGAATGTCTCTTCTTTGTTTATCTTCATACATACAGGTGAAACAGAACTCTCTACGATCCTACATTGGTGTAGTTCCTCAGGACACTGTTCTTTTCAATGATAACATCCGTGAAAACATTCGCTATGGACGCATCTCTGCAAGTGACCAAGAAGTAGAAGAGGCTGCAGTGGCTGCTGATATCCACCATAAGATATTATCCTTTCCAGACGGTAGAGGAATGCTATCTTTTCATAACTACATTTAGTAGTTATTAGTCATTTAGTAGTTTTTTTTATCTGTTCATGGAGTACAGAGCACATTTCTCAAGCTTTATGATCTCCACATCCTTGGAATACATGCACTACCATTTAATGGCTCACCAAGGCCTCATTTAATTTTATGAAAAATACAGTAAAAACAGAAATATTATTTCAATTAAAAATAACAGTTTTTTTTACTTGAATATATTTTAAAATGTAATTTATTCCTGTGATGACAGCTGAATTTTTAGCAGCCAGTGTCATATTGCAGTGTGTATTGATCACAGTTTTGAAAGAACAGATATAGGATTGTAATAACATGAGGTGTGTATAAATGATTACAGAATGTTCACTTTTCTCTGAACAATACCTTTTTGAATATGACAGGATATGATACTGAGGTGGGTGAAAGGGGTCTGAAGTTGAGTGGAGGGGAGAAACAGAGAGTGGCCATCGCTCGCACAATCCTAAAATCCCCTCGCATTATTTTGCTTGATGAAGTGAGTAAAGACAATCTTGAAGGTTCACAATTAATGATATGGGTTTGTACTCAATCCTGATTTTCAAATTCTGCTTTCAGGCTACATCTGCTTTGGACAGTCAAACAGAGCGTAACATTCAGGCTTCTCTCGCTAAGGTGTGTGCCAACCACACCACTCTGGTCGTGGCACACAGGTAAGTCTATTTCATATGCTAACAGAAGTGCTAAAGAGCTCCACATTTGTATAATAATAACGTTTATATAATAATTTGACAAAAAAAGATGTACAAATACCACTGGTGTGACTTCCATGGACTTGTTACAGTACATTCTTTTGGGAGGGTTAAGTAACTTGCTTAGTTATTCCCCACACACACAAAATTATGCCACAATTTCACTAATGTGACTGCACCTTTATATCTGTTTTAATGCTCCACAATGACTAGGCACTGAAATATAGACATGCCATCAGTGCTTTTGTCTACTGCTCTGGGTTCTAAGCTTTATCCCTCAGATAACATCATGTATTGATCAGAGCTTTCGTTGGGCCATCTGGGCCACATCTCTAGCATTAATTAGATTAATCTATTTGTCCTTAAACCCAGTGTCTTCAGAATAGTTCAAAGAAATGAAAGGTGTATGAAGGATAATCCAAACAATAGCAATCAGTTGTCTCGCCAATGAAATAAAGCTGTACATGACATAGTAGCTGAGCTCATAGTTCACACCTAAATGTTTGTGGCATAGTCCATTAAACTTTTTTTTTTATATCTTCAGGGTTATAAAAGAGAGTATCTTGCTTTTTTTGGATTTTATGAAAAAGTTAACATTACAGACTACAGCAGTGTGAAATCTTTTGTCATCATCACCCTTGAACCTAGAAAAACTTTTGCTTACATTAACTGCATTTTTAAATTGCAGATTTGGCAAAATAAATGAAACGGATTACCTGTTTTAGATAAGCAATCGGTGTAAATGCATGTTGATTTCAGGCATACTGGAGAAGGTCTGTTGAGTATTGTCAATGCAATTGCATGTGCCTATCCAATTTTTTTGTCAGCTGGCAACTTTTAAAACATCTGTACACACACACACACACACAGATAGTTCCTCCCTTAAACCTGATGGACACACACACACAGAGTGTTCCACTAATGGACTTCCATTCATCCTGGCCGTTCAGCCCTGGTTTTAACCCTGTGCTCACTGTCCTGCACTTCGGCCCTTTGATATATGAGCTACAGCCAACAGACTGTCCGCAAGACACACATGGCCGTCAGGGATGTAACTCCACACCTCGCAGATTCAGCCCTGACTAACACTGCGATGTAAACATGACCCACACAGGCTTTTAACCCACAGGAACAGTGTATCGGAATACACACGTTCACAGGAAGACAGCGAGGTGGGAACGTCCATTCGGGGAGGTGAAGGGTTAATGCTTTCAGAATAGAGGAATTAATAGATACACCTTGTGCTGCCCCTTAACAGGCTACTTCCTGAAAAGAGACGTCTGTGGTCTGGAAAATCTCTGGGAAAAGATTTGACAAGGAGGGAGGATGCGAGGTTCACATGGTCATGGGAAACCTGGAAGTATCAGAGAGTTTTAAAATAGCGATTTTTCAGGCCTGGAAAAGTCATGTAAATTATTAGTGACTATAGATCATTCTGGTTATGCCCATCTAAAATATTCAGGTAATATAATATATATGATAATAGTTTTTAAAATAATAAATATATGCATGTATAAGTTTTTTAGCTAAATATATTATATAATAAAATATAATATATTTTCTAATATAATAAAATCTGTTTTAAGTACAATATATTGAAGATATTTTAAGAATCCATATCAGAATCAGAATGAGCTTTATTGCCAGGTATGTTTACACATACGAGGAATTTGTTTTAGTGACAGAAGCTCCACAGTGTAACAGAATGACAGTGACAAGACAGGACACAGATAATAAAAATAATAATATAAAAAAATAGACAATGTACAAAAAAGCAAAAACACAATAGATAATATAGAGCAGTGTTTCCCAACCGGGGTGCCGTCTGTCGAGAGCAGGGGTGCAGTGTAAAAAAAAAAATATTTTTTAATATTTTAAAAAAAGCATCTATTATATAATATAATTTTCTGATGTCGCCAATAATTAAAGATGCACCGAAATTTCGGCTGCCGAAAATTAGTTCACCGCTCAGGTTTCACTTTCACGTGGTGTGACGCTCTGCGTATTATCCCGCTCTATGCATGTGCGCTCCGCTCAGTTATTTTTTTATTTGTGCTATCATTATTAATTTCTTTATTTGTTCTTATTTTATTACTGACTGCTTACTTGTCATTTTTTTATTCAATTCAAAGTTTGAAATAAAGCTATCTCGTGCTACTGCACCAAAATTACCCCACTGTAAAATTTAAAAAACACTGAGTGAGCAAAAATTTGTGAGATAGCTAGTTATAATGGTAATTAAATAATGCTTACATATGTATAAAAGCATTAAACATTAAAATCTGTCATATAAATTGGTCTCTTCATTAGAAATTAGCCTACTGATTGCCACCATTGATGGACAACATTTTTTAATAATATTAAAAATATCTGTATGACATTATATTCTGCAGTTCTTCCCTGTTGTACCGAATATCTATACTTTTCAAATTATCATATCGAAGTTAGAAATTCAAATATTGTGACAAAATTAATTTTGTAGGGTGCCACAAGTTTGATAAAATTTCCAAACGGTGCCGCGACAAAAAAGGTTGGGAAACACTGATATAGACAATGTTGTATGTACAGGTATGATATGTAAAAACAATATCCAGTAAGAACAAAAAGAAAAACACCTGGAAAACTCATGGAAATTTCTTAGTGACTATTAATTTTTCTAGTTAATACATTTTTACACCACTAATTATATTCAGACATAATATAATCTGTTTTTAAGTGCAATATTTTAAAAAGAATTAAAAAATGTTTTAATCCAGTAAGGACTAATGACTTGTAATCTGGAAATTTCTTAACACCTGGAAAACTCATGGAAATTTCTTAGTGACTATTAATTTTTCTAGTTAATACATTTTTACACCGCTAATTATATTCAGACATAATATAATCTGTTTTTAAGTGCAATATTTTAAAAAGAATTAAAAACTGACTATAAATTGACTATAATTTCTTATCAACCTAGCTGTGCTCAGCTTAAAATATTCAGACTTCAAATAATATAATATTTTTAAGTGAAATATTGTAAATATTGTCCAGTATGGACAAACAACTGGAAAACTAATGGATATTTATTGACCAAAAGATGTAGGGATACGGTAGGATAAACACTGGCCATGTTATTAATTTATAGAGGTAATAATCCACTTTTGCAGCTGCTACAGAATGCTTGCTCAGGTCCATTTGAAACTTCTAGTGTGATCTTCCATTACGATGAGAACATTTTCCACACTCTCGTTCCCAGAGCTCAATGTCCCATACTGTGTCTGCTTCACTTTTGATGTCATACTTCCAAGTAATTGATGCTTCGACAAACTTGACCCTAGACCGACCTTCCTAACTCTGTTTTAGCAATCTGAGTAGAATGAATAGAGATGGTCCTGAGTGTTTCCTCACCCTTAAGTGATTTCTGGAGCCAGAGGGAAGCTTTCATTTGGCTTCTTCGACCCCCTGTGAAGCTGAAATGCTCTGAAGTCCACTTTGGCAGGCATCTTGGCAGTCAGTGCCTTGGGCAGCTGTTTTCAGTCTAGGTTATTGTCAAGCAAATCTCCTATTTTAAAGGTACATGTCAAAAACCTCAATCTCAAAGAAAAACAGAAAGATGAAACTTCTTTGTGTTGCGATTTTACACTTTTCTGCAAGTGGTCTGTCTGCTTACAGTATGTTGTGTCTGACTGCTTTCTGTCTGTAGGCATGAGGAGCTGCTGGCCATGGGGGGACTGTACGCAGCCATGTGGTTAAAACAGCAGCAAACCCCAGAGTCAGAGGTCTCTACAGATGAACAACCGCAGGAGCCACAGCAGAGTGGCTGAAGCTGATGGAGCAGCGATGATGAATGGTGATGGGTGAAATCAATCAGGAAAATGGTAAAAGAGTTCATCTCAGACACAGGGGCACCAGACTGCACAAACGTAATAAACTACGAAGAGTGTTTCTCAGGGAAAGGTGTCATTAAAAATCTACCAATCATTGAGTACTTCTAAATATGTTAAAGGGTTAGTTCACTCTAAAATGAAAATGGTCCTCATTTACTCATTACGCTCATTTTGTTCCAAACTTGTATGACTCTTTTCTTCTGTGCAAAATAAAAGCAGATACTGTGTTTTGATTTTGAGTGTTGGCAACCAGTGGTTCCCATTGACTTTCATTGCATGCACAAAAACCACTGACATTTCTCTTCTTTTATGTCTCACAAAAAAAGTCATACAGGTAAATAATGACAGCATTTTCATTTTTGGTGAATTTTCCCTGTAATGCTTTGGAAACAGCATTAGTATAAAAATACTGTCATGTGATGACTATATTCAGTCATGTCTGTTACATTGGTTTTTTCTTTAAATTACATGTAACACTTTTGTTTACACTTCTATCCATCACTGTAAACTGAGGAGATGTGGAGGAATCTCTGTCGTCTACTGATGGGAATTGTAGGTAACCTGTTCACTTGCTCAGGGTCATGTTTCTTTCATTATAATGCCGACATTTTAGTCACATTATATATTGCGGTGTTCATGTTACTCTGTATTTACATAAGTACATAGTAAATCTAATGAACTACATGTACTTTCCATATGCATTGTTTTCTTTGATGTTATCTATAGTATTACAATTCAGTAACATGAATTTGTGAAACATGAATATAGTATTTAAATTGGAGTATATGTAACATGTACACTGTAAAATTTAGTGTTCCCAATTTTTTCCTCCAAAAAACCATCAGACCTCTTTAGGCTGAGCCAAATATACATTTAAACCAATATTTTAATATTAATGACATGCTGAACTTGAGAGGTGTTGGATATATATTCTCATTTTTTTTCTTTTTTTAAATAGGTTTTTATTGATTTCTAGTTTGAATTGAAACCATTTGTATTTTTGAATGTACTTAATTGAACAAGGAATTGAATTAATTTTAAAAGAGAAACTGATGGGCATTAAAGGGACTTACATGAACCACAGAAACATTCAGAAATATTGGAAAAACATCTGTAGCCTTTGGATATTCTTAAAATGCCTTTCATGGAAACATTAGCTAGGTGTTTTGTACCTTTTTTTGTGAAATGTGCAGAAGTTGGTCAAGTACTTCATTAAAAAAAAAATAAAGTCTGTAAATAAATACAACCCTGACTATGTACAAAAGTTAATTTATTTAGAGTATTTACATCTTTTCACTCCAGCTATGGTTTAACACAAACAATGACATGTATAATCCTTTAAGACAATTGACATTAAAATCCATTAAGTAGAACATGACAGAAATATTTACAGGGTAACACATTTCTGAACTATACAAAAACGGATATTTATCTTTAATGATTTAGGCTTAGAGTTAAAGATTGGCTACAATGCACTGAGGTTTAATGGGGCTTTGTCCCACTCACATCAATACTACAAGAAAAGTATGAACAAATGGGTGTCCATGTGAATGTTTAAAAGTTTGGGGTCAGTAGGTTTTTTTAATAAATAAATACTTTTATTTAGCAAGGACACATTAAATTGGATCAGAAGTGACAGTAAAGATGTTTATAATGTTTAAAAGATTTCTGTTTCAGATAAATGCTGTTCTTTTCTGTGATATGCTCTACTTTCTATTCATCAAAGAATCCTGAAAAAAATGCATCACGATTTCCACAAAAATATTGATAAAATTAAATGTTTGATGATAATAAATGTTTCTCGAGCACCAAACCAGCATATTAGAATGATTTCTGAAGGATAAAAATCCATTTTAAAAAGGATTAAAAATATTTTAAAATAGAAACGTAATTTTAAATTATAAGAATATTTCCAAATATTACTGTTTTTACTGTTTTGAGCAAATAAATGCAGCCTTGCTGAACATTAGAGACTTCAAAAACATTTTTAAAAATCTTACTAACCCCAAACTTTTGAATGAGAGCGTATATTTCTGAGCAAGTAGATGCGCTGCAGAAAAATATCGTCCTACTGTCTGTAATTTCTGAAGAATGTGTATGAATTCCCACAGGAGCTAATACCTTCTCGTCACTGTCAACATTATCGGCGGCTGGCGATTAAATGTTTGCGGAGATAAGCGAACACTGTGGACAGAGTGGTTAATACAGTGTGGAATAAGAGGTCTGAATTAAATACATGCTTGCAGAGCCCAGTGTCTGCTAGAGTCCAGACATGGTGAGGGAACATTTCTCATTACTAAATCATGCTGGACCGCCCTGTCCCTTACTGAGCTGAAGAAAGGACAAGGAGATTTGTCCTGAACTGTTCAAGTGACTGTGAGGTGTGTTTCAGAGTGGCCTTGTCACCATTGTTCAGTTCCAGGCGCGCCCTGTGCGATGACCCACGGAAGAGCACTCTGGTAAAGGAGCGCGGATGCCCCTGCGCTGAACCCCCATGGCAGGCGGAGAGAGGAGAAGTTCGCATGGGACGCTCCCCATGGGACGCCTTCTACGGAGCGGCAAGCAGGGGAAATGAGGTTCAAAGTGAGGACATGTCAGACGCTTTCTCTCTCTCTGTCCTGCATTACCGCCTCTTCTTTCGATCTCTTAAGCACACATTATGTAGTCTCCGTTCCTCAACAGCTTGTCAGGGTCTATGTGCATCACTGGGTGAATTAAGTGCGCACACACAGGTAGAGTGTGTGTGTCTCTGTGTTTGTGAGAGGAAAGCGCTGGTCATGGATTTCAAGTTTGTGCATTATACAAAGTCATACTTCTAGGACTACTCGTTGGTACTTGTTTTTCATGGAAGTACTCCACTGGAGTGTCCGAATTACGGATTGGGAACAGTAGAGTTGGCTCTTGTCCTTCTGAAAGTCCTGGAAGCGGTCAGTTTGCTCAATTCCTGCTGTTGTCGGTCTTGGGCCGTTTTTGGTACCACAGAGCTGTGGGGAGGTTCTGGCAACCCATGTACTCCTTCCTCATTTCGGCTTCGGTGAGAGGAGGGGTGGAGTTGCACGGAGCACCGGCCAGAGTCACGTTCATCAGTCCCAGAGCAGCATCAGCCAGTCGGGGCATCGCAGAACTCTGCTGTTGCATTAAGCAAAGAAAGAAAGCGTTTAAAGTCCATAGTGTAATATTTTTATGTAGAAAACAGACAGAAATGAAAGTTATTCCACAGAAGATCTGAAATGTAAAGGTTGTATTGGCAAAAAAATGACACGTTGACTCAACATTTGTTTTGTGACCATTTTTAGTCAAAACTGACTTTTTGGATTTGGTCCTATTCCACAGACAAAGCCGTCATTATAAGAAGACTTAGCAGAATAAAGACCGTGAGTCGTATAGACTGTGTTTATGATGTAGGTCATAAAAGTAGAACTTGCCTCTGTCCTCTTTCAATTTTAGTACAAAGAAAAGAGCAGCTAGGATATTCAGTTACACTTTACATTAAGGGTCCATTAGTTAACTTTAGTTAATTCATTAACTAAAAATGAACAATTCATTTTTTTACTATATTTATTCATCTTTGTTGATGTTAATACAGCTGTTCATCGTTAGTTCATGTTGGCTCAGGTCCATTAAAGGGATAGTTCACCTTCAGTTGCTGGTCCCCATTGAGTTGCACAGTGTTTTTCCCCCATACTATGGAAGTCAATGGGGACCAGCAACTGAAGGTTGAACTATCCCTTTAAATTGTATATGGGGTGCTGTGTGTACATTGAGGAAAAAAATTAACTTAAATGATGTTAGCAAATGGCTGCAATATAATAAAGAGTGAAAAATTTAAGGGGGTCTGAATACTTTCCGTACCCACTGTACATCTTGATTTTTATGGCAAATGATAAATAAATGCTTTAGAATTGTTTTCCATTGTTATTTCATGTTAACTAATGTTAACAAATGAAACCTTATTGTAAAGTGTTACTAAATATTCAAAAGTGTTACTGGATACTATATAGAGTGAGAAAATGACGACTGGTGAACTGACGACGGGTGAACTGTCCCTTTAAGCATTTATAATCATTTAATCACATAATCAAGTTTGCATTTCCGCCTTATTTTTCAATTCCAGTTAATGTATGAGACTTATCATTCATTAGCTGCTGTAAATAAATAACTAGAAGAATAGCAAGGTGTGTTTATGATTATGATAATAAATTATACATGATTGTACAGCTAAAATAACTGGAAGCAGCTGACACCGGAAGCCTCACATGAGTTATAAATGGTTGTGCACTGCTTTTACGTTAAAAATAAGGTGTATATCTTGTTTTGTACAATCAAAAAAGAGTGATCTGAACAGCCCAGATTCATAAAGGCTTGTAAAGTCTCACCTTACTGAGGTGGTCTATGAGGCACTCTGATGGGTTCAGAGAGGCCCAGAACTCAGCTGTGTGCACCCAGGGCAAGCCGTTCAGCAGCACGACATTGACGTGTTTGAGAGATCCCATCAGTCTCTTGCTGAGGACTCCACTGTAGCTCTGCTCCACAAAGAGCAGCACCCGACTGGCCCTGCATCCGGCCAGATCCGCCAACAGTTCACCCACAGAGTAACGCTCCTTCAGATCTGCCTGGAGAAAAAATATATATATATATACCATGAAACCATTGTATAGAGCAGGGGTGCCCAAACTCGGTCCTGGAGGGCCGGTGTCCTGCAGAGTTTAGCTCCAACCCTAATCAAACACACCTGAAGCAGCTAATCAAGGTCTTACTAGGCATACTAGAAACTTCCAGGCAGGTGTGTTGAGGCAAGCTGGAGCTAAACTCTGCAGGACACCGGCCCTCCAGGACTGAGTTTGGGCACCCCTGGTATAGAGCTTTCCTAGCATATAAAATGACAAGTTTTCTAGATTTTGCCTTAAAATGCCATTTATTAAAGTAGTGATCCGCAAAAGTCTGTACATTACAGTGATTTCACAGCATGAGATAAAAGCAGTGCAAGGACTTGAGTGGAAAATGCTTTTATAAAACTTTTATATTAAACTTTTATAATAAAGCAATTATAGACTATTGTTCAAAAGTTTAACATCGGTGAGATTTTTTACAGTCGTTTTTAAAAAGAAGTCTCAAGTGGTCAGGGCTGCATTTGATCAAAAGCACAGTAAAAACAGTAATGCTGTGTCTGTTTAATATATATTCAAATGTAACTTATTCCTTTGATGCAAAGCTGAATTTTCAGAAACCATTCCTCCAGTCTTCAGTCACATCAGAAATCGTTCTAATATCCTGATTTGCTGCTCAAGAAACTTTTTTTTTTAAATATAAATATAATATATTATATGAATTTAATAGAAATCTTGTATATATTATAACTATAATATTAATGTTAAATTATAATATAAAAATACTATAATACAAATAAATTTGAGAATATCAAATAAAAAAAATTATCATTAACAAACTGTCCCCCCACCCCTATTTTCAGTTTTGTCTTATCACTAGAAAATAATTTTGTTCTAGTTTATATTTTAATTTCATCCAATGCACCTACAATTCACTATTTCACTTAAATGACTGTGGTCTATTTTAAGGCACTTCAAAAGGAGAGCATACATTCATTTGTCCTGGCATTCAGACTCGTGGCAGTTGTTGAAATGAACAGTTAGCCGTACTCTTTCTACTCAAAGAAGAAATGAGCAGCTTTCCTGTGGGAAGCCGAGCGTCTGGTGGCCCTGATTCTGTGTGGTCCTTGTCTCTCAAGCCCCCCTTTGTCACTGCATCCCTGTCTGGGGATCAGGTTGTTGCCTTTGTCCCTAGAGAGTCTGTCCCTATTGTCATGGAAGGGTGGGCTTTACTGTGCAGTCTGCTCCCTTCTGTTTGCCCTACTCTAAACATATGGCTGGGATTACTGACCACCTTTTGCAAAGGATTGTGGGATTTTGGTGGTTCAACAGGAATGTACTTTATAAAAGCAATATCATTGAATGTGTGCACAGTTTCTGGAATGATTGTATTATTGATAGATGAAAGAGGTGGATGGCTGGTCTATTGTGGATTCCTTAATAAGATTGAGGGCTTAAGATTGTGCTGTATTTCTCTATGAAATTTTATCTAATCTCTCTGGTGTTTCTTGTTAAGTGAGGAGTCTGCTCTGGGATGTCCATGTGCATTAAGGGAATATGTTTTGACAAAGCATCCCCTCTTGTTTGTTTGCTGCACAGGTGGCATACGTTCTCATAAGCAGCACTAAAAATACTCCATGCACTCGTAAGACAAGAACCACCAAATTGCAAAGTGTCTGCAGATTCATCCCTTCCAAGAAATAAAACCGAATGAACAGATGAGAGTCAACCAAAAGTCAGCTTCCATAGTGTAATATTTTTATCCTTTGGTTAGTGGGCACTTTGAAGCGGTGGTCTTGGGGAAACACGTTGGATTCATTTATGGGAAGATAAGGAATTCCTAAAATCTTTTTATTCATCTGACCTCTCTGTGATTCCAGGAACCCCCACATTTATAACAAACCTACTTCAGCACTTTCAGAATAACACCGTAGGCCTAACTGTGAAAATATAATCCTGTTACAAAATCCACTGAACTAAAATATTTCCCCCAAAAAAACTAGTGTTTTTCAACCACTACAGAGCACAACAGTTGGGTTCCAGAAGTAAAAATCCCTTTTTCCCCCTCCACAGAGGAATAGATTTTTGGTAATGTAAACACCTTTTAAAACTGACCTACCATGATGTCTGAGAATATGAAAGTAATGATAGAGGTCGTAAGACAGTGTGATTTCACTTTCATTTTTAAACCATTTTTAACATCTGAATTCTGAATGCAGAACTGTAGTAATCGTAGTTCAGAAGAAAAAGATCCACCATTCAGAGAAACTGCTATTACCACAGACACGTGCCAAAAGTTCTCCTGTTTCCAAGTACTTCAATTTAAAATATAATTTATTTATTAATTTTCAGCAACCCATTAATCCAGTCTTCAGTGTCACATGATCCTTCAGAAATCATTTCTGAGCAGTGTTGTGGGTAACGCATTACAAGTAACCAGTGTTGGGGGTAAGGCATTACAAGTAACCAGTGTTGGGGGTAACGCATTACAAGTAACCAGTGTTGGGAGTAACGCATTACAAGTAACCAGTGTTGGGGGTAACGCATTACAAGTAACCAGTGTTGGGGGTAACTCATTACAAGTAACCAGTGTTGGGAGTAATGCATTACAAGTAACCAGTGTTGGGGGTAACGCATTACAAGTAACCAGTGTTGGGGGTAACGCATTACAAGTAACCAGTGTTGGGAGTAACGCATTATAAGTAACCAGTGTTGGGGGTAACGCATTACAAGTAACCAGTGTTGGGGGTAACGCATTACAAGTAACCAGTGTTGGGGGTAACGCATTACAAGTTACCAGTGTTGGGGGTAACGCATTACAAGTAACCAGTGTTGGGAGTAACGCATTACAAGTAACCAGTGTTGGGAGTAACGCATTACAAGTAACCAGTGTTGGGGGTAACGCATTACAAGTAACCAGTGTTGGGAGTAACGCATTACAAGTAACCAGTGTTGGGGGTAACGCATTACAAGTAACGTGAGTTACAAAATCAGATTACTTTTTGCAAGTAACTAGTAAAGTAACGCATTACTTTTTTAATTTACAAGAAAATATCTGAGTTACTTTTTCAAAAAAGTAATGCCAGTTAGTTTGTTTTCCCATTTATTGACTGACAAGTCTCCTGTCCCCATATTGGGAGAAATCGGAAGTACAGAGGCGTTGTGTGCGCTGTGTGAACATGATGTAGTTCTAGACTAAATGTGAATGTGCATTAATTCATCCCACTCACAAAAAAACAGATTTAGTATTCATCAAAATGAATAAAAACAGTGAAATGCAAACTCAGAATATGACGCAAACCTGCAATAATTAAATATGTTAAATAACACAAATGTATCTAATCCCATTTTATTAACTAATGTCTTTGCTGCCGACCTTTGATGATCCAGTTCAACAATACTAATAAGCAAAAATGACTTTAGATAAACTAACAATTGTGCTTCATTGTTTTTTTTATTGCTGAAGAGTGTTGAACCTTCTTCTCCTGTGCTCTACTGTACAGACATGAATTTACTTTTCCTTCAGCCTGAGGTTTATTCATTACACTTGTTGGTGTGAAAGGGCTTTTACATTTGCTATAAATAGAACTTTTTATATTAAAAACAATCAAGCCCTGCTCATATTTAAAAAGTAACGCGAAAGTAATGTAACGCATTACTTTCCATAAAAAGTAACTAAGTAATGTAATTAGTTACTTTTTTAGGGAGTAACGCAATATTGTAATATTGTAATGCATTACTTTTAAAAGTAACTTTCCCCAACACTGTTCCTGAGTAATATGCTGATTTGCTGCTCAAGAAAAAATTCTTATTATTATCAATGCTAAAAACTCTTGTGCTGCTTAATATTTTTGTGGACACTGTGATACAGAATGAATCAAAAGTTTAAAAGAACAGCATTTGTTTTAAATATAAATCTTTTGTAACATTATAAATGTCTTTATTGTCACTTTTGATCAATTTAATATATCCTTGCTGAATAAAAGTATTAATAATTTTTTTTTTTTGGTAGTAGTGCATTAGTATATCTGAATATTTTACATTATACCTAAAATATATTTAATCAATGGCTTTATTAGTTTATACATTATTTATATCATTGCGTTTGACTCTGTCATTCACAAACAATGCTACATAGGATGAGTAGTTTGTTGCCTCGTACAAAGTGTTGGAATCCCTGTTGAAATAATGAATTGAAAAAAATAGTTAGTTGTGCACAAGAGTCAGAACGTCTGAACAGATGCACACACTCACAATGCCGTTGTTATTGCGGTCCCAGAGCAGCATGGTGCCGTCGTTGCATGTGGGGCTGTTCAGGTACAGAACCAGAGAATCCACACAGTGCTGCTTCCGGCAGATGTACGAAATGTGATTCCTGATCACCTCTTTCTCGGTGGCTGGATACATCCCCTCAGTCTCTTTAGCTGTGGAAATAAAGACAGTTTGTGAATCTGAATATAAAGCATTAGGGTAAATTAAAAGCTTAAATTACTTGAAATGTCCTCTGACCTGCTACCTGTCCATTCCCAGCAAAGAATGTCTTTATGTGGTCCTTGTGGAAGCCGTTGTTCCTCAGCATCTGGTAGAAGAGCTGCAAGTTCTTTGCATGTTGTTGGTATGTTATCTGCTTCTGCCAGCCACCTGCACGTGCACAGGTTAAAGGTTATGTAGGAGCAGCATACCTGAGACAGCTGATGAGTCCAAGTATTCAGCCAGCATTTCAAACATCAATGGGTCAGATCTTACAAATGAGTTCTTTGAGTCAGTGTTTTGTACCTGACAGGAGAACAGCATGATCACAGGTCTGGTAGAGGCGGCAGGACAGGTGTGTGGCCAGGCGTTGCTGATGGCACCGGCGGGTGTTTTTATTGAGCTCACAGCTGGAGATGGGTGTGCTGGGACTGGTCAGTGGCAAAGGCTGCGGGCATCTGGCAAAGTCTGGGTGATCTACAGCAACAACCACATTACTTAGTGTTAGGTTTGAGGTGAGCAGCATTAAAAAGTAGGAGAACAGAATTTCAACATGCTTTTTTCAGACCCAAACATTACATGATTCATTCTAAATATAAACTGTTTCTTCAGCAAATTTTTGTAGTTAAAATGCCACTTTGACCAACAGAAATCTTTGTGGTTTGAAAGTGAATTCTGCGAGTTGTGCTTAATGCATCGCGTTTGTCCATATTACGCCGAAATACCTCTGTGACCGTCCCTTTATGCTGCGTTCATGGCATGTTGTAATTATTAGATAACTCAGACATTCTACTAGGAGCTGTTCACATCCTTGGACTCAGAATAATGCATTTTGTGGCAACACAATTAACATCATAATGAATCTGTAATAAAAAAAAGTAGTGGCTGTTATGCAAATGCCTTAGTAAATGTATAGCTGATTTAGCTTAGCATTAGGTAGTTATTCAACTCTGTGCTATAGCTACATTAAACTATTTATGTCTTTTGTTTATTTTCAGAATGTTTTTGCATTATTAAAACATTAACAATAGTCAGTTATAAGATTAATAAACAAATATTATGAAATAACAGCTTAACTGCATTTTACTGCCATTTTCAGTGTTTCATCAGGTTGCAGCTGTCAGGTGGTACAAGCAGAGCTCTCAGAAAATGACAATTTTGTAATTATTTCAAGGATGTGAACTTTTTTTTTTTTCCCCTCATCCTCATCCTCATACAGTAATTCCAACATGACTTGAACACGACTTAAAAAAAAAACTGTGTGATTTGTGCAATGTAAATGGTGAATGAATGCCTCACTAAAATAAGTATTCCAAGAATTCACACCTGTCTCTGTGACAGCAAAAAAAAAAAATGTAGCAATTAGAAATGCTTAACCAGAAATGGTTGGATGACATGTCTTTGGAGGGTGCGTTTTTGGAGCGGAGGCATGTGGTCGACATTTACAAAATTGTGGCATTTGGAAAAACAGATAAAATCACATACAGCACCTTTAAAAAAAAAAGCCAGATTCCTGATTCGCTTCTTTTCAGGATTCAAATAACTTGGCGTAATTGTAATTTGTGCTTCTATTGCTTTCTCAGAATAATGCATTTTGTGGCAACACAATTAACATCATAATGAATCTGTAATAAAAAAAAGTAGTGGCTGTTATGCAAATGCCTTAGTAAATGTATAGCTGATTTAGCTTAGCATTAGGTAGTTATTCAACTCTGTGCTATAGCTACATTAAACTATTTATGTCTTTTGTTTATTTTCAGAATGTTTTTGCATTATTAAAACATTAACAATAGTCAGTTATAAGATTAATAAACAAATATTATGAAATAACAGCTTAACTGCATTTTACTGCCATTTTCAGTGTTTCATCAGGTTGCAGCTGTCAGGTGGTACAAGCAGAGCTCTCAGAAAATGACAATTTTGTAATTATTTCAAGGATGTGAACTTTTTTTTTCCCCTCATCCTTTACAGTAATTCCAACATGACTTGAACACGACTTTAAAAAAAAACTGTGTGATTTGTGCAATGTAAATGGTGAATGAATGCCTCACTAAAATAAGTATTCCAAGAATTCACACCTGTCTCTGTGACAGCAAAAAAAAAATATGTAGCAATTAGAAATGCTTAACCAGAAATGGTTGGATGACATGTCTTTGGAGGGTGCGTTTTTGGAGCGGAGGCATGTGGTCGACATTTACAAAATTGTGGCATTTGGAAAAACAGATAAAATCACATACAGCACCTTTAAAAAAAAAAAGCCAGATTCCTGATTCGCTTCTTTTCAGGATTCAAATAACTTGGCGTAATTGTAATTTGTGCTTCTATTGCTTTCTCTTCCTAAGAGTTTGTCACTGACCTTCCAGAGGTAATTAAACCTGTTGAACTCTACAATTCCATTGACTCACCTACACAGTGCAGGCGTTGGGTTCGGTTGCTATCTTTCACTCCCACAACCAGAGGGAGAAAGTGAATTTCACAGAGGCCGCTGCTGTGCTCCGCTCGGCCGGTTCTGCCCGTTGTGCTCCTGCGGGCCCTCGCCCGGCTCGCCATACGGTCGCTGCGACTCCTCCTCCGCTTCAGCTGGTTCTGGCAACGTGTCTTCACAGCCATCGTCAAGCACTCCTCCCCTGTATACATGTTGCATGAAACAGTTAATGTGAGGGAGAGAGAGGGAGAGAGAGGGAGAGGGAGGGAGGATGGAGCTGCCTGTCAGGTAATTCCCATTAACAAAATTATTCTTTGACTTATAATTTTATGATAAATGATTACATCAGAGATATTCTAAGGGGAAACAACTTGTTTGAAAATGAGCAGCTGTAAACTGCTGCCACTCTATTTGCATTTGTCTGGACGCATTAACTTGTTTTGTTTTTTTCTCCAGCAAAGTGACCCCAAAGCACAAATGATGTTGCAGGTTTATATGAATTATTCTTTCGTTTATTTTAAATATTTTATCAACTCTTATTCAATCATTTTTAACATTATCTGTCAAATTATATGGTAATAATTAGTATTTATTAAAGTGATAAATTGTTTATTAACATCTCAAATGGATTAATTTAGAACATGTTGAGATACAGTTATATCTTATGGAAACAGTGTTGGCAGTTTAATTTGATATTATAAGCCTCATGCACAAGGTTGTGAAACTAAAATATGTTTCTTAGAAAATTGAAGTTTTCTAGAGAATTTTCTACTTTTCAGTTGCTTAGCACAGTGGTTCCCAACCCTGGTCCTTGAGGCACCCCAACACTGCACGTTTTGCATGTCTCCTTAATCAAACACACCTGATTCAGGTCATCAGCTCATTAGTAGAGACTCCAAGACCTGTAATTGATGTGTCAGAGAAAAGAGACATGCAAAATGTGCAGTGTTGGGGTGCCTCCAGGACCAGGGTTGGGAACCACTGGCTTAACATACAAATAATTTAAGACAATTTATACAGTAAAGTGGTTATAGCCTAAATAAGAGAAAGTGTTTGGTGGAATACTTAACTCATCAGGAGAGTGAAAGAGAGAAACTATTTTTATATCCACATGAAATTGCCTGAAAAAGTCTTGTCCTTTTTTTTCAGTGCGTTGACATATTGCTGTTAGATTTTTTTTTCTCTCACTTGGATAGTGTTAACAGATAATAATGATAGCCTATAATTTTGAAAATAACAATAAGACTTTAAAATATTCCAATTCTGGGTTTTTGGTCTGCTTCAATAAATAGAAGCCTGTGAGAGACTGAGGCAAAAGAATCCTCAGGGCAGCCTAATGATTTGAAATAAAAATTGATATAAAATATAAATAAATATTCATTATTTATAAGTATACATATACATAGTAGAAACCACGCATATGCAAATACACCATAACATTTTTGTCAAATGAAAACAATACATTTAACATGAAAAACCAATTCAGCACGAACTCCTTGATTGCACGCACAGTATTTATATATATATATATATATATATTTTTTTTTTTCAAATGAAGTTATTAGATCTGACCAGAGAGTGGCGCTGTTTTCTCATTTATTGTAAATTAGGGCACCTTCACATGGTCATGTTTAACCCAACAACCTGTCCAACCAGTAAGAGCCTAATTTTTGAATAACAGACCTATATATTAATGATAATGAGTAATTCCATAATAGTTTATAACAGTATTATTTCACCACCTTCTTTCTGTTATTTCAAAGAGATCTTTTATGACTGCATATTGTTAGACACGTCTTTCATGACTGTGCAGTTTCTCGGATTGTCTGTGAGTTTCTTCTTGACCTGATTATATGCCTCTGTGCCGTTAATTACACTTAATTAGAAACATGATCTGCATGCAATACTTGTAAGGTCACTCTTCTATTTTCCCATCCTAATTAGGAAACTTTTATTGTAAATTCAGTACTGATAGGATATTGGCACTGTGTCTTAAATTTGCTGATCTTGATCATTTTGAAGTTTGTTTTTTTTGTGCTTTACTGTAAATGGAATATCAGATTACAGGAACGTCATTTCTAGACTTTTAGTACCTGACACAAAAGCTAAATTATAATAAACCAGATAAACAGGCATACATTTATTTTGTCATTTATTCTCAGATATTTATTCCCCTCAGTACTGTACTTCAACCTTGGCCTAGTTAGTAGGTGTGAATTGTCTTTCCATGGTAATGTAACCACAACTTCAGTTCTGCACTTGTAACCCTATCCAGTGTCATGTCAGTCTAGGGCTCATTGAAGAAAAGATCTGATAGAGCCCTCTCTCACCTGAGAATCTTACACGACAGCACAGCATTGTGATTTCATGAGGGTCACTGAAATGGTGCAGTCTCATCCTTGACTCAGACTAAAAGGTATTGCAGAGCTTAATGTAAAGCCACCAGGATATGTTTAACAGACTGTGTGTTTTATAGCAACTGTTTGCTTAGTTCACCAAGTGTGTGTGTGTGTGTGTGTGTGTGTGTCTAGACTAAAAGGTATTGCAGAGCTTAATGTAAAGCCACCAGGATATGTTTAACAGACTGTGTGTTTTATAGCAACTGTTTGCTTAGTTGTGTGTGTGTGTGTGTGTGTGTGTGTGTGTGTGTCTAAGGGCAGAGCATCATGGTGACCTGCTGAGAGTTTGAATTCCAGGCAGTTCTGCACTTGTAACCCTATCCAGTGTCATGTCAGTCTAGGGCTCATTGAAGAAAAGATCTGATAGAGCCCTCTCTCACCTGAGAATCTTACACGACAGCACAGCATTGTGATTTCATGAGGGTCACTGAAATGGTGCAGTCTCATCCTTGACTCAGACTAAAAGGTATTGCAGAGCTTAATGTAAAGCCACCAGGATATGTTTAACAGACTGTGTGTTTTATAGCAACTGTTTGCTTAGTTCACCAAGTGTGTGTGTGTGTGTGTGTGTGTGTGTCTAAGGGCAGAGCATCATGGTGACCTGCTGAGAGTTTGAATTGCAGGTGGTTTGTCACAATGCATATTTAATTTTAAGTGCATGTGAGATGGTGATACTGGGTTACTTCATTCTGTAAAGGAGTTTTCAATAACTCGAGAGGATACTGGATAAGTTTAGTCAGTTGGCTCAAGCTTTACCACAGAAAACCTCCTTTGGATCTGTTGCTCTCTGTTTTATTGGTCAGATTATTTAGTTTAGTATATCCTTAAGAACTTATCATAAAAGATGTGAATTTGTACCAGGTAAGTTAAATTGTTGTTGTTTTTTCATATCTATCGGGTGTCAAATTGTTCTTGTTTTGTTTTTTTAGAGTTTTATAATTAGTCAGAGCTTCAAAATATGTATTATATAGAACGTTTTCTGACGATTTTTCTATTTATGTATATGTATTTTCTATGTAGGGAAGACCACAAATGATTGTCACAAGTTGTCACAAGAGATACTGTATATAACTATACGTTTTTAACAATTTTTTCATCAGATTTTTTTGCTTTAGTTGGGTAACAAGTGAAACCAGTGTTCAAATATTATAAACCTTATAGTTTATTAACTACAATATTTAATGACCAAAACCACAACAAGACTTTAATGCATGCGCCTACATAAAATTACATAAAAAATTATATCTCCGATAAGTATTAGCCTAACTATAGCAACTGGTGTGACAACTAGCCTGGGCCTTCCCTATAAATATATTGTGTACAGTATCAGTTCATGCATTCAAAAAATAAGTGGTGCGTCATTATATGTTATTCACTTAATCTAACTTCTATTAGAAACATCTATTATGGTTCAGACCAGTATTATTTTAGTAGCCTATTATTTATACACTTTGTTATAGTATTTTTGCCTATATACACTGCAGCCTATATTATTTTTTTTATATTATATTTAATATATTTTCAGTATTCATTATAATTTTAGTTTTAGTCATTTTATTAGCTTTTTTTATGATGTGAAATTTACATTTTCATATATTTCTATATAGATTTTTTTTTAGTTTTAGTAAGTTATTGATTTCAGTTAGTTGCCAAGGCAACATTTCTCATTTTCGATTTTTCGTTATTTTTTTCATGTAGTGTTAATCTATACCCGCTTTGTTTCAGTTACTGAACGCGAGTTTTAATAGTTCACCAGCAATAACAGACAGTCCGCCTGTATATCGTGTGTGTATATGTGTGTGTGTGTGTGTGTGTGTGTGGCAGGCAGCACGAGGGAAAACAGCACGAGGCGGGTTTCTCGAGCGCGACACTCTCTCTGAGGTAACTACAAACTGCCCTGTCATCCCGAGCCGGTAAGACGCGTTCATCACTTGCAGAAATAGACAGAAGTCTTTGTGTAGTAATAAACGTTAGTGTTACACAAAACGTGTTCGACCCGCACACGAAGACGCTGGTGATGTATGGCATGAGAAAGAGTAGTTAACCCGACTGTGCGGCGAGTGCTGTGTGGTAAGCTAACGCGCTAACGGTTAGCCTCGCTTTGGCCGCGTCTCAAAATCTAGTGCGCTGTCTGCGTAGGCAGTATTAAATGCGGCTATGATTTCCAGAAACACCGTCTAGCCAGGCAGCTGACAGGGTTTTGAGTCACAGCTTGTATGTCTCCTTTGACTTTATTCAAAACGATAAAGCCCCGTTCATGTGTGTTGGCTTGATGAAAGCTCAACGCCAGACCGATGGAAGCCAAAAATATTGATTAATAATTATAACAACAACAACAACATGGTGTTTGTGTCTACAGAGAGGGCAGGTGTAGTTTTTAGCTAATCTCGTGGAATTCCGACTAGGGAATCTGAAGAGATCAAGCCTTTGATCAAACACAGTGTTGGAGTGTCTCGAAATCTTATGAGCTGCCTATACAGAGAATATTGATTGGACGTTTTCTTTTAGTTCACTGTCATACTTAACAGAGAATCAAATATATACTTTTATCTTATTCCTGTGTTCAAGAATACTATGGTAACGTTACATGTCCAAAAATGTTAAAATAGTTTTTTCTAGATCTGGAAATATTTAAAAGTATTTTTTAAATGTATTTACAATATTTGTATGCATGTATGTATAACATGTATAACATAATTTTCTGGGTTTGTTCTACTCTGAAATATTGTATTGTGCTTGTGTTGAGTAAAATTAGTTTGCTAGCAAGTGTGATATCACTGTCTGCGTTTAGGCTTTTATTAGAGGCATTTGTA